TAGAGTTAGGAGGCAATGCCAAGTAATTGTATAGATGGAGGCCAAATTATGGATACCTAGAAAGTAGATTTGTTGTAGTAGGGACAGAGAGAGCCATTGAAGATTTCTGATCTGAAATAGATCACAGGAGGCATGTGGAAGAGAGAAATAGCGATTATGACACAGTCTTAGTACTGCTTATATCCATTCTATTTACTGGCAACGAGATTGTACAAAAGTTAATCTCCTTAGCCTCTGATTTCTTCATCTATAAAATAAGATAAAGACTATTTGCCCTAATTGCCAAGTCTCTCTGGCTTTTGTTATGTGGATCAAGTAAAACAGATATTTACGAAGACCCTTTTGCATTATAAAACTTAATACAAATGTAAAACATTATGAGATTGACATTGGTTATGGTATTGGTGCATTAAAGTAGCTTTTCAGTTGGAAGTATTATGTTAGATAGATTGTAATGACAGACTGAAGTGAGGGGAGCCTAGCATCAGTTATAACAATCAGAGCTGAGGTGCTGAGAACTTGCTCTGCGACCGTGGCTCTGGGAATGGAGGGAGGGAAGTGGCGTCTCAGTTAACATTCAGCCCCCCACAGAGTAAAAACTCTATGTGTGATATTTTGAATGCTTAGAAAGGAAGCTGTGGATTATTTCATTTCATGATTTTATGTGTCGAGAATTAAGACAGTGCATAGTTGGGTGATTCTTCTCCTTGGGGTATTTACTGAATTCAGCTAGTGGTGTTCAGCTGGTAGATGAACTGATTAGGGAGTTCATGACAACTTTACTCAAATTTGTGATACCTTCATGGGATGGCTAGAAGACAGGGCCTAGTTGGGACTACACGTGGCCTCTCAGCATAGCAGTCTTAGGGTAGTTGAAATTCTTACATGGCAGCTGGCATCCTCCAGAGAGAGTATTCCAAGAGAACAGGCAGAAGCTGTGTGGTCTTTTCTGACCTAGCTTGGAAGTCTCATAGCATTGCTTCAGTTACATTCTTTTGGTTCTAAGTGAGCCTTAAGGCCAGTTGGATTCAAGATGAGAGGAATTAGACTTTACCATGGTGAAGTGGCAAGATCATGTTGTAGAAAGAAGTGTGGGCTGGGAGATACTGCACTGGCCATCTTTGAAGAATGTAATCTACCACATGAACCAAACTGAATGTGTCACCAGGGAGTCCACGACTGTCCCTGCAGATTAATTTCTGGTGACCAGAAAAATGGGATTGATGGTAACAAAGGCATGGAGACTGAAAGAGGTAATTAGTTGAATCAAGATGAATACATTTGTTTTGTATGTGTTGAGTGTAGATGATGGTGGCATATCCTGGCAGAAATATATGTCAGAACTTGGAGACAGGGGATTAGTTTGGGTGATATTACAGAAACATAGATGTAGATTTATGAACTGTCTTCATAAACATCATAGTTAGTAGGATTGCAGTCTTTAGGGAAGAGCTTAAAAGGAAAAAAGAAGAGAGGACCGTGGTCAGAGGCTTTTGAACAACTGTACTATGTGGTTGAAAGTACAGTTGAAGGCATTCCAAATAGATTAAGTGGGGAGACTAGGCAAGGCCCAGTGCCTGGTATCTCAGCCACTCTTAATATGCTTTAAAGATCTCCTTATGGCTGTCACTGTTGGCTTTTAACCAGCCTGTTATGAGTTCCCAACTGTTGCTTCCAAACCAAGTGGTTCTTCATCCCTTTGGAGACATTTCAGATCTGCTGAACAGAATGTTTCACAGAGAACATCTTTACAGTGTGTGTGGCTTCCTTTTGTTTGGTTTTTATTTTTAAAAGAAAATGTGTTTCTTTTGGATCATTCTGAAAGCCTTTTATAAGCACTTAAGTTATGAAAAAGTTATTTAGGCAGACAGCATTTTTAAAGTTTGCAGAAAGAAATCTGGGCTTTCATGGAAATCCACTAAAATGGAGGCCAACTGCTGGCCACCTCTTGAACTACAGCTGTGTTAAGGAAGGAAGCACTTAAAGAGATTAATGGATAAATAACAGAAGAGTTAAACATGAGCCACATTTGTTTGAATTGGTTTTTAATAGGATTATTCAAAATGTCTTCACATGTAAACTGACTTCAGTATTAAACAATCATCTAAGAATAAATAAGAATGGCAGACACTGTTCTTTTTTTTCTGAGAATTTTTTGTAAGCCACACTTGAGTATGTGCACGCGTGCACGCACAGGCACAAGCTGTGTTAATTTTCTAGAATCTGATTTTCTTGTATGGTACTTTCTGTTTAGAGTTTGATGAAATATTCATGCACTCTTTAAAAAACACAATTATCTGCCTGTTCGTAATTACCTGCTTAAGCATTTGATTGGAGTGGTTAAGTGCATTAAAGTTACAACTCTAAATTTGAGTTTCTGATGAAATTCATATTTGCTTATTTTCTCTCTATGATCTTAGTATTTTAAGTTATTCTTTCAATGAAAATGAACATAATCCTAAACTAGAGTGCTAAACTGGGGAATCTACCATTCATTAATTCACCCATAAATTAGAAGCTTAACTCTAAGGGGATTAAATTGTTGTCTACAATTCTAAATCTAGAAGGTAGGTTGCTATTGTCTTGCTGTTCAATTTATGGAATTGCTCTGCTTACTGAAATATAGCTTAACCTACAAATATTTGTTACACTAATTATAATCATTTTCACATTATTGGCCTAAAAAAGTGAACTACTGACATTTAGCTGTTTTTTGTCATAAAATGCTAGTGCTGACTCATGGATGTCAACAATTATGGTGGACAGAAGTAATTTAAATATGTACTTAAACTTTCATCAGTTAATTATAGCTACTACAATTCAAATTCAACAGAACACGTCTTATGAACAATTGAAATATAATGGTGAAAAAATAATTTCCCTCTACTTTACTGGAGAATGAAAGACCAGATCTCTTAAGAATATGCAATTGAGCAAGAAATAAATCTAGAATGTAATGTATGAGATTTGGGGAAAAAGTCATTCAACTGTAAATAAAAAGTACATAATCTTGTCTAAGCCTTTAATTCCATCTTCTTTGGTAAATGTGTCTAAATATGACACTTTTTATTTCTGAATGTCCTATGAATTTTATTTGAAGTATTAATAGTTAAAGAATAACTAGTGATCATCCACTCTGGGAAGCCATATTAATACTTACAAAGAGAAAAAAAATCCTTTAACTTTCCCGTTTCTTTAGTGGATTACTTAAAGTCTAAATCTTTGTGTCTTTGGTTTGTGACCCCTGAATTTTTATTTTTAAGTCTACTCCATAGTTGAGTCAGATGTTACCTTCTTTCTGGAACTTTGAATACTCATTTTTTAAGTTCTCATAGTAA